AGCTCGCCATCTGAGATCTTACTGACCCTCTGCACTGCTGAGTTAGGGTGACCCTGGTCCCAGGCACATGCGGAAGGAATCCAGCGTCTCGCAGTTTTCAGGTTGGCCCTGATTAAAATGCCTGCACTGCACTGGTTTTTCACCCGAAGTCATCTTAAGAGGATAAGGGCTGTCGCTGACAAATGATGCCTTAGGACCGTGGGACCTCCGCTCCTCCCCCATCTGCATGGAGACCCGCCAATGAGTGCTCTGGGTCCTCCTCCCCGCTCCTCTATCACAGGCAATTTTCTTTTCCTTGTTCATGTTTCCAAAACAGTTTATCTTTTTATCTCCTCGGAAGAAAAGTGCTCTGCAAATCAAAGGTATCATTAGTATTGTTATTATTTTGCTATTGAAATCTCTTGAATTCACTCTGGATTATTCATGGGCTTTTTTGGGTCTGCAATATAATGCCTCCTAAGTCACCCCTACTGGGCTGAACAAAAAAGAAAAATTGCATCTTTGGGCCCCCTTCCCTGCTCCACCTCGGCTCCCGCTGGCCCTGGCTGCCGCCAGCAGGGCGCACCAGGCTGAGCTGCTCCTTGGTCCTGTGCCGAGCTCTCTGCTGCCATGTCCCCAGCCAGATCCTCCTTTGTAACCCGGGTGGGCCCCCCCTCCACGCCCCCCTCCGCACTGTCCTCTAAGTGCAGTGTGAAGGTGTTAACCCTGCTCCATGCCCCTCTTCCCCTGGGGAGTTTCTCTTCCCTCTGCAACTGGTCTGGCTGGCAACTGAGAATTCCCTGCTGGGCAGCAGACACTGTGGCCACCTCCGTGCCAGAGAGACATGTCCCAGTTTCCCTCACCCAGCAAATTTGTGAAAGAAGTGGTCCCACACCCTTGGCAGCCGTGCATGGACCTTCCTGCACAAAAGAAGCGATTCTTTCTCTTCTAGACAAGATGTCATATCGCTGGGGTGCAGGGGCGGGGGGAGAGAGCATCACACTTATTACTTCCCTCTCCTTTTGTTGTATGACATTTCTGGGTAAGGATCAATGTTCCCAAAGTTGCTGCTCACTCCCAATATCCTTTTCTAATGCCTTCCCAGCGTGCGCCCCCTGGGATCCCTTCTGTTCTTTCAGCTGCCTTTGGGATGCTCATGCTATCTTTTCATCCTCTCCCCGCCCCCCCGCCCCGCCACACACACACACACACACACACACACACACACACACACACAAGGAAGCTCCTGCAAGTCAAACCTCCTTCCTTCCCCTGCTTCCGGTCCTCCCCTTGGTTCACGCCTCGCCCTGGCCAACTCCTTCCACTCACACTCTATTTTAGCCTCCTGTCTGCTTTATGTCCTTCTGGTCGCTGAGAGATTCATGTCACTGTGAACCTCCATCCCTCAAGTGGACATCTGACAGCCCCTTTGGGTGATTCCTGCAAGAAAGTCAGGAGAGCAAATTTCTTAGACACCCCAGATGAATCCTCAACTCAGGGACGTCGTTGCCACTTCATGCAACGTCTCCCTTTCACCCCAACGTACCCAGAGCAGCATGGCGCACAGGTAAAGCCGACGAGAGATCAGGGCTCACCAGAATTAGCACTTTCAGACCCCCAAAGTCACTAGGCCGGGCAGGACTCTGGGAGCACTAGGTTGACCCACCAGAGAGTGGAGGAGACAGCGCCTTTCTTAGAGCATCCCGGGTAAAAGGCCCAGCGCTGGTGCCTCTGCCCTGTCCCCAGACTCTCTGGACTTGAGGTCAGTGGGCAAAGGGAGTCACGGAAGGACAGGCTGGATGGGCTGGGTCTTGAAGATGAAGGAGGGCACAGGAGGAAATAGTTGTGGGCAAACTGAAATGGTAGAGGGAAAAAAGAGAGCAAGTTCTAAGTTTACGGATGACAAGAGAATCGATGCCTTTTCATCCCAGGGCAGAACATGCCTCTTCTCTGCGGGAGGCAGATTGCGCTGTGACATTATCCCTCTGTGTCCAGAGCACGTGGTTCTGACAGCGAAGGGAGGCGGCATCCCCAGCCAGAGGAAACCCACAGCAGCTCCTGGCGGCGGCCCATCTCCCTGTGAGGAGCCAGGCCCCGGCACCTTGGCGGGGGCGGCATGGAAGAATGCCACCGGCCTCTCTACTACCACGTAGGAAAGGTAAACAAACACTCAATCTCCATCTGCAGGTAAAGTGCACACTTTAAAGGAATAAGGGCACAGCATACCATGAAATTAATTATCCCTAAATTTCATTCTCCAAAGGGTTATGGAAAAAAAAAGGAAAGATGAATAAACATTTGCCAAATTAGGAAAGAAAGGATGAGTGAAATATACTCTGCGAGTTTACCTAAATGTTCTCCTCTAACGTCAGCCAAGCACTGCTTAGAGCACTCCCTTCGAACGGGAACCGAGACAACCGAGAGCAGGAAGCTGGCGCATGGTGTTTCCAGAAACTCCAAGGTGGCAGGCAGGTTTCCACTGTGCGAGCTATCGGGCGGCAGATGGACGTATCGCCAGAGTGCCAGATACGACGGCCCTGAATAGAACCCTGGACATTTGTTCTCTTTGAGTGGAGGGCCGTCCCCGAGTCTGCACGTTTCCTTGGAAAGTGTCCCAGGAGAAAGAGCACGTGGAAGGTGGGGGTCAGAAGCATAGCTCTGTGGGGGACGGGGAAGTGGCCTCAGTCAGAGGGATGACAGCCAGAGGGGCCATCTAGAGCCTGTGGGCTCGTCCTCTCATGACCCGTTCAAAGTAGATATGCTCCATCCCATAATGATAACTACATGGCACCAGGTAGGGGCGGGGCATAGCATATGAGCTAAGCATACATGTGTAGAGGGTCAAATAGATTCCTCTGGGGAATTCACAATACTCCAAACAACATCCACGTTAAACTACATGTCCGCAGAGCAAGTCGAAAGATACTCTATCGCAATGAAACCCGTAAAACATCCTCCTACAGGCAGGTGCTGTCTATTCCAGGGACCTGGGACCGACAGTGTCCAGTGGCGTGGGGAATTCTGACTGGCTGGGTCTGCCTTGGTCTCATCATCTTTCTATATACCTGTGTTGGGAGTCCTGTGCACCTGCCATCTGATAGGGTAGCAGTGCTGGCCAAGCTCAGAGCATGCAGGAATAACACGGAACTATGAACCGCATGGTCACGAGTCTGTGGTTTCTTCCCAGTGCCCTCAGGGCTAAGGGTAGATGAAGCAGGCACTTAACCTCCATAGGTAAACATTTAAAGATTCAAATGAGGCAGTCAAGAAATAGCTCTGTGCTAAGAAAGGAATAAGCAAAGTGGAAGATGCACTCTGATGAATCAGACAGCAAGCAGACAGCCGGAGAGGCACTTAGACACCTACAGACTTCTTCTGCCAATCTAGAGAATAATTGTGTTGATGTGCCGCCGACGAACACAAACCACTGATTAAAACGTGCCCTGGTCCCGTGAACTGTGTGTAGGGGGGTGGCTGGATCCTCCCTTCAGGGATCCCACATGCAACTTCCTGAGCGAACTGGGAAGAGGCACAGGAGAATGAGAGTAAGTGTGTGTGCATGGTTGTGTAGATGTGTGTCCATAAGCAAGCGTGCACACATCCGAGAAAGAGCGTAATCTCACCAACAGCGATATACCCAAACTGTTTATACCAGTGTTCTGCGATACCTCTTATTCATTCAGCCTGAAAACTCTGGGGAAGGCAATTTATCTTCCTGCTGCTGTAGGGAGCCCTTGCACACAGCCCCATGAATACATGAGCGTATGTGTGTGCACACTGTAATGAAGCACAGGCAGGGATGTAACACAGTCATATGGGGGAAGTGCCCCTCAGGTTTCATCAGGATGGCCGTGCACAACATGGGATGAGGGGAAATCTGCAGGGACCACAGCACCAGTGGAAGAGGTGAGGAAGGAGGCTGGGACTCTGCTTACACTGGCTTCTCCCTGACAGGGAGAGAAAGGGAGACACGCTGTTCGCTTGCAAAGCCAGCCACCCATGCCAGTGCTCTGTGTTCTCAAAAACTTTTACCCTTCATTTAATCAACAGATGGACCTGCTCTGTTGTGGGTTTTTCTGAGAGCCCGTCCCACTCAGAGCTGCGCTGGCTGCATAAAGGCTGCCGCCGCCGATGCCGAGTAGCACTAGCATGCTGCACCGGTGGGAAAGCAGCCCATTTACTCGGCCCCTTTGAACTCGATTCCACAGGTGACTCTTGATGCATTTGGCTAAGTAGGCACTCATGATCCCTCTCCCCAATCCCCCTCCCTGCGCCCCTCCCAGCCCGATCCGCCCTGTGGCAGGGAGCCCAGAAGTGGCAAAGTTCTTTTCTGAACGTTCACCAGCTCCTCTGCTCCTGCTAGGCTGCAGAAACGAAACAATCGGCACCAGGGGCGAAATTCCATTTTAGACCCTGAATCTGATGCTGAGGAGAACTCAGAATTCAGTCTTACTCAGAGAACTCGATTCCATTCAATGAAACTCTTCACAAGCTGTTCCCCAGCCCTGCAAATTACCCCCACGATACATTCGGTAATTGCAGCCCCTCCTGCAAATGTGCGACGCACACGCTGGCTTTTGAATAAGCTCAGGCAAGTCAGACCTTTTTCCGAGCGAAAAATCCACCTAAACAAAGCTCTCCTTCCCGACTCGCTCCGGCTCCAGCCCGGGTCTGAAGGAGAGGAGGTGCCCAGAAGTTCAAGGCGCACATCCACACAGATACTGCCTCATTAACATACCGAGGGCATAAAGGACTCATTTGCATTGGAGAGTTTAAGCTGGATGTTGACAAGTGAGAGGAGAAAGTCACTCCCCGCCCCCATACCCCTTCCTTCCAAAGGAAAATAAACAGTACCATTTTGTTGCATTTTCAAAGGCACAGGAGCAATGCCAGTGCCTCTCGACCGGGCCAGAGAGGCGCATCCATCAGCGGAGTTTCCGAAGCCTCCCGCCTACCGCTCTCTGCCTCCCGCGCCCTGGCAGCACCCACTTTCCCTGCAACTCCGGCGGCCTGGGTCCTACCTTGACTGAAGAGGAAGAAGCAGACGATGAGCAGGTGGAGCTGGGAAGGTTTCATTCCTCGGCGCGGCGAGGGCGAGCCGGCGGGCAACTTGGGCTCGCAATGAGTTTCCCCTCCTGGGCTCGCGGGGCTCCGCCTGCGCCGCGGTCCTCGCCGGGTCGCCCACCAGCCGTTTGTCCCGCGGTCCCCGGGGCCTCCGGCTCTTGCGCCTCTGGTCTCCGCAGCCGGCCGGCACAAGTGGCTGTTCTCTAGCCGCCTCGGGAAGCCGGGGTCTTCAGCAGCGTCCCCTCTCGGAACAGATCCATCTCCGCTCCCGGCCTCCCGGGCGCACAGCTTCCTCCGGGCTCCTCCCACCGCCAGCCAGCGAGCGAGCGAGGGACCAGTGACAGAAGGGCTCCTTTCACTGGAGCTGGGGAGGGGAGAGGGAGGGGAAACCGGTCATAATTAAAGAGGAAACACTTGGAAAAGGAGATCTATGGAAAACGGAGCGGGGAGGGGGGGGTCTGTTCTCACTCGCACCCCCCCACCCCAAATAGGGGGAGATTCAGCTTTTGTCACCATCAGGGACCAAAAGGCATCTTGAACAGCAAGTGGAGCTGTGACTTTTTTTGTCCACACACTATAATGTTTAATGGGAGTGAAGTTAAGGAGGACTATATGCTTGTGCACACACTGAAATATGCATACCCCCCACCCCTCGGCCAGAGGACTGGAAACCCGGCTGAAAAGGGAGAAGGAAGAGGTGAGGGGGAAAGCTGCATCTTCCCCCAGAAAGGACCTGGCCAGTGTGTGCAGTGGGAGTCTCAGAGTTGGGGAAGAGGCGAGCATGCTTTGCATTTTTGAGACTTTCCTAGGGGGGGAGAGGTGGGCAACAAAACCGAAACGCTGGACCTTAGTGTGCTTTGTGCCACTCCCAGAAAACAAAATGAAGGGATGAGCGGGAAACCAGGTAGAGTGGCGACAAATGCCTCTGTTATTACCCTGATTTGTGTATCTCCTACCAAGCACAGGGGAGCAGGCTCTTTTTGCATTTGCAGCCTGCCCTCTAACCAGCACTCCATCACCCTGAGTGTAGTGTGTCTTTTCTGCAAGAGGTGCTGTGACTCCTACGTGGAAGGAGAGGCCAAGGTCATAGGCACCTGCCTCTTAAGGTCTTTTACCTATATGAAACCCCCATTCAAACCACACTCTGTTTCTTCCGGGAGAGCAGAGTGAATTTATTTAGGTCTATTTATTTGAGAGACAGTTAGATATGCCTGGTATAAGCAGGGCACTGGGGGAAATAAAAGCTTAGATATAGACCGTGCGTTCGGGAGCTCATAACTTAGTGTGAAAGTAGGGTATCCACATAACGTGCAAACTATACAGATAGTTACAAAACAGTGTATGAAATAGGCAGCATTATACAGAAAGGGAGGTAAGGAGTAAAAAAAGGAAAATGAAAGATGCTCTCTCGATTTGTGCCATTCGGTTATGAAATCAATCATTCCTTTTGTCAGTCACAGGGCCTTGGAGAGAGGTCTTTTGGGAAACCTTAGCCTTTCTTCCATCAGGATTACATCCTTTGGTGACTTTGCTGACCGCAAGGCATATTCCAGCTCCACGTTTCCGTGTAGATGTATCCCTTGGGACTTAGGAAGAAGAAAGGGAGAAGTGGGGGCACCTAGAAAAGGGTGTGCGGCCGGCGCTGACATCTGGTGATTCCCATCAAAGACCTACACATTAGTTGATGTCTGCTATGTTGACTCTCCCATTGTTAATGTAATAGTTTATTTAACTGCATCCCTTAGAGGCTGTTCAACCTATCCAATGGAAATGTGCAAGCAAACTTTTCCTCAGCGGGAAAAAGAAACACAGAGCAACCGAAACTAAGAGGTTATAAAAGGGGCAGCTCACCAACTAAATTAGCAAACAAATTTCAGAAGCATTGTCCGTGGCGCCTTTCATTGACTGGTTACAGCAGACAATGCAATAAAACAGAAGAGGCAAATCAGAAACACATGCAAACGATGGATAATAATTCTAAACAACATATGCCAAATAACATCTTAGGAGTAAAAATATGGCATGCATAGTGCTGCAACTTTAGTAGTCGCTGCTGTTAATTCTATGGGTGTGGGAAGAGATTTGAGATCTGGGTACGAGTCCTAAGGCCAAGCCTCACAGAGAATGCAGATTGTACCTTACAAGGCAACATTAGATGTGTTAACTGACATTTATCCTTTAAGCTGTTTAATTTTGGTCGCTAATTCCTAAGTGGCCTGGGGTCCAGATTTGCTTAATTCGGCCCCAGAGGAAATATTACAAAACAAGAGTCTTGAGGCCAGGGAACTGTGCAATACAAGAAAGTCAGGTCCACGGACAGCGTGTGCGCATCCCACGCACCCACTCTTGGACGGGAGAGGGTTGGCGGGAGTCCGAGGTGGGAAGCACCCTGACTCGCTCTCCCACTGGTCCCTGAGATTGGCCTCACGACCCCCAGCCAGCTGGAACTGCTCCCTTCTCCACCCCTCCCCGCAGCCTCCGGTCTCCGGCGGAAAGGTAAAATCACTTGGATTAAGTGATGAGCTGCCTGGCTCTAAAAAACCACGAAAATGGTTTTCTAAACTGCACACACTGGCCAGGTCTAAAAGACCAGAAAAACCACGGCAATCTTCGGAAGCCACCACGTGGGGCAGCAAGAACGACAGCGGTACCTGCAGGACCCGCAGCCGGCCGGGCCCTGGCGCCAGCCCCGACGGTGGCCCCGCCATCTCCGCCCGGCTGGTCCCGGCCTCACCTCCTCCGGGGGCTCGGTTAACCTCCTGGCGCTGCAAGGTTCCCGGCGAGGAGGGGACGGCTCCACCTGACAGGGAGGAGCGAGAGCCTCAGACCCCGGAGCGCTTGGGGAGGGGGCTGTAGGGGCGTGGAAGGGACCCGGAGGAGGAAAGGGCAGGGGGAGGAGAGGAGGGGCGGGGCAGCAGGGAAAGGGAGGGCAGTGGGGAGGAGGGCAGGGGAGACCCCCACTCTTGGAGAGAACAATCGAGTCCGGAGCGAGGCGCGGCGCGGCGCGGGACACCGGGTTTCTGGGCACGTCCGTGGAGGTGGCAGCCCTAGAGAGACAACAGAAAACCAGCAACTTGGATAACCGCCCGAATTTTTCTTCTCTGCACATCCAGGCTCCCGGTCTCCGTCGCGCCCACCCTGCAAGCCGGGGTCCCTCACCAGCAGGTGGCATTCTCTCCAGCGTTTCTCCTGGAGAAACCTGGAGTGTAGCCCAGGAGGCTCAGTTCGTCAGTCGCCAGCCCACTTCTCCAGGCCTTCCGTGCCAGAGACTGTGTCCTTTGACCCCTGACCCCCACGCCTGCGGCAGGCAGGAGCTCCAACGCCAAGGGAGGCAGGGCTGGCTCCGGATTCAGCGGCTCGCCAGCTAAGAAGCTTCAGAAGGGCAAGTCTCCAGCAGACAGCTCCCAGCCCCTGCTCCCAGCCCCTGCTCCCAGCAGCGTGCTTGCCCGGGAGTTTTCTGAGGCCTGGGACAGCCAGGGAGACTTGGGGTTCAGGGTCCAGGTGCAGGAGTGTGGGGTCCCGCTGCTCAGTGCCCTGAGCAAGCCCAAGTTCCAACAGACCATGCAGACCCTGCGCACCACGACTTCCCAGTGACCTTCCTTTCGGTTGTTTATCCATCATCGGTAACATTTATTATTCCCCTGATTGGCGTCACGGCCTGTTTGGGGTACTTAATGAAGACATGTGGAATGAATACATAAATTGCTGTGTTTGGAAAGTTTGTCCTCCTGTTGCAGAGAAGTATACACAGGTGTATACATGGAAAATAAAATTATGAAACATCTCATCTGGCTTTTTAATAAGGCAGTAATTGCCCTGGAGGTCATCTGTGAGGTTCAGTCCCGGTGCCCCAGGCCCTGAAGGAAGGTGCTGAGATGCCGCGCAGGCCCCAGCCTCCAGCCAGGGGCTTCTGCAGCCTGCAGGGCTCAGAGGGCCGCTGCCCCCGCCACTGCCTGCCCCGTTCGGGAGGACCGTTGCCACAGAGAAGGCCGGGGGAGGCTGTTGTAAGCCATGGCGGTCATCATGAGTGGAGAATTTCCTGTTCAACACCTCTTCACAATGTTTGTTGCACAGATACATTATAAACCACATTTCCTCCCTCCCTCCCTCTTTTTTCTTTTTAAAACATTTTATTTATTTATTTTTAGAGAGAGGGGAAGGGAGGGAGAAAGAGAGAGAGAAACATCAAGGTGTGGTTGCCTCTTGCTTGCTCCCCACTGGGGACCTGTGCCCTGACCTGCGATTGAACTGGCGACCCTTTGGCTCGCAGGTCAGCGCTCAGTCCACTGAGCCACACCAGCCAGGGCTTGGCTTGGCTTGGCTTTTCTTTTCTTTTCTTTTCTTTTCTCTCATCTTTTCTCTTCCCTTCTCCTTTCCTTCCCTCCCTTCCTCCCTCCCTTCCCACCTTCCTTCCTTTTCTTTTCTTCTTTCCTTCCTTTTCTTTCTTTCTTCTTTCTTTCCTCTTCCTTTCTTTCATATACCCTGCCAGTGCTGGTTAAAACCTCTTTGTCCAGGGATTTAAAGACACATTGAACAAGCCCCTCTTGGGAGTGCAGGGTAACCTGACTCTCCGTCCTGGATAAGTGAATAAGCGCTTGAAAGGACATAGACTTCCCGGGACCAAATGGTCTTCAGGCGCCCGCCTCGAGCGGCGGCCTGCCTGACCTGGGCACTCACAATCTTCCAGCCTATTTCTTTTTCATTTACCTGAACCACATTCTTGCTCACATCTGTGCAGGCAGATTATAGACTTTAACCTGCGTTCACTGTGGTCAGTTGTGGAGTCAGCTTTCAAACACATCCCCGGAAGGGCCGGGCACGCCTGCAGCGGCCAGTCGCCCCAGGCCAGGCCTGCAGGAGGGGCCGTGGCCAGCCTTTTCACCTGGGCTGGCTCCGGCCTGGGCGCTGCTGCTTTGGTAGACACTTAATAAACCTGGGCATGTCTTTCTTCATCTTTAAACATGACTGGTTGAAGACTGGCTTTCTGGGATCCCTCCCAACCCGGAAAACCCTGCGGTCTCTTCTCTGGAGGGCGCAGGG